ATTCCTGGGACAACCAGTGTGTTTCCAGAGGAGCTGCTGGGATGCTTTGTGGTTTTAAACCAACTTGACCACTGAAGGGCAGATATTGAAACTATTACGTGTTTCATCTTTTAAAATAAGCATTGTCCATGAAAAACCAACAGAGTCTGGTCTGTCTTTGTCCTCTAATGCATCCTAACATACTACCTTCCCAAGAGGAGACACTAAGTGGATGACTTAAAAAATAGAAAGTCTGGAGATGCTGATCCTGCAGTTATTTCTCCTTATTTTGTTGTTATTTTCATATTGCAGCCTTCATGTGTGAAATATTTTAGAGAAGAGAAACATATTTTAGGGGAAATTCACCAAGACAGTGTACACAACATCTCTCTCTTGGTAAAATCATTCTGCGCTTTCTCTCCCTATTCCACACCCAGTGTAATACACTCGTGATTTTTGTACAGCAGGGATTTTCAGTTTTTGCTTTGTATGAACTATTGTTTCTCTTTTCCATGGGTGTTGGAAGTGTGTAGTTAGTTGGCTTGGTGATGAGGAAGAACAACAGTTAACTCTGATACATTTCACCAGCTTGTCTCCAGTTCTATGCATACGTTTTCAGAAGGTTTGTTGAAGCTTTTTAACTTGATGGAATTTAAAGTATTTTTTGGAATTCAAAGTTGTCTTTTAAAGTACTTTCTTCATTGTTGAAACATTACCGTGAGCTGCTATTAAAATTATAATTTCTTAAAATTCTTATGTGGGTTGTCTTAGACTTTGTTCCAGTTCTTTTGCTAGGCTTCTGTAGTTCATCAAATGTCTGATTTTAATTTCCTTTTTAAAATAGTTAACTGTTTAACTGTGAAACAGAACACCCACTCAAATATATTTTTAACTTGATGTAAGAAGTGTTTTAACATATGACACAGCTTAGGTTGTTTTCCTGAAGATGCATGTGTGGAATGGCTGGTAGCTGAGTTACTAAGAAGTTCTTGTGTTCCACACTTCCGGACAGCGCATGCACCGTTAGAGCCATAAAACTATTATTTCAAGTTTCTAGGTCAGTTTGAAGAGTGTCCTGAGATTTTAAAGCAAAACAGACATTTTGATTGTAATTTAACATGTGCATTTAAATCCCTGTGACTCAGGACTTTTTTGATTTAGTGATATCCAAAACAAAACACAAAAACTGGGTAACGAGACTGTTAAAAAAAAGTTTTCTCCTCTCTTTCCCCCATTTTAAATTTGTGCTTATCAAGAGGCATATTCTTTCTGCCAAATGACTGAAATGATATTTATGTTATAAATCTGATCTTAAAAATATTTATACCACTTCTTCACTTGCCAGTCTTAACAGATATCTGTTTTTTAAATGAAGCCTTTTGCATCTCTGTGAGAGGCATTCCTCTGAGTCCGCCTGTGCAGGGCTGTCCACGGACCCAGAACCACTGCTGTCAGTGCTGCCCGCCCACCGTGGTCTGGGAGCCTTGCGGTTCGGTTCCAGCTGACTCTCTGACCCTCTCATCCAGGTGCCGTGGGGGGAGGCTAGACAGAGCTGAATGAGTTATGCAGTTTGTTGCTTTTTTCTTCTTACCTCTTTTAAGTATTCAGATGCTTAGGGCTGGAGCAATCGTAATCCTTGGTTCATGAGAGTGTATCGTTGACCCCTGTGTATCTCTTATTTTATTTTTTAATAATAAGCACTCTTGAACCCATCTCCCAATCCTAGAACTAAACTCTGGCAACAGCATCTATCTAGCCGTGTGTACCACCCCTTCTTGTCTCCTGGCCTCACTGCTCCCAAAGTGGACACTGTTGAAAGCATCTTCCCTTTCCCATTGAAAAATAGTTTTAGGAAAAAAAAAAAAAGTCATGAACTTCCCAGAAAAAAAAATAGTTTTAGTAAATGCATATATGTCAATAATAATTACTGTTTATTTTTAGTTGGTTTTGAACTTAAGGGGATCATGCTGTCAATTTTTCAGTTAACATTATATGTATATGCTAAGATTTATCCATATTGTTACACATATCTGTAATTCCCTTTTTATTGCTGTGAAACATTACACTGTGTGACTATAATACAGTTTATCCATTTTTCTGTCGATGAGCATTTGAGTTACTTCCAGGTATTTGCCATTCCAGACAGTATTATTATGAACATTCTTGTGTATATCTTGTTTTTCACGCACGAGAGTTTCTCTTTGATACACGTTTGGGAATGGAATTGCCGGGACGTAGAGTTTGTGAATATTGACCTTGAAAAATAATGCCGGCCTATTTTACAGTGTGCGTATACCAGTTTATCCTTGGCCAGCAATGTGCACCTCGATCTGTGTGCTGTTCGACCTGATAAGCCCTTTGAAGAGTCATAAAGTGAGATTTTATTGTAGTTCTGGTTTGCATTTCTTTACTTACTAATGAAGTTGAGAATCTCTGTTTATTGGACATATGTATTTCACCTTCTGTGAAATATGAGTATTTTATCTGTTTTTCTCTCTGGGGCTGTTGATTCTTATTTATGTATAGGAGTCCTTTCTGTAGTCTTGATATTCATGTTTTGTCAATTACATGTGTTAGAAATGCCTCCTCCCACGTTTGGCTTGTATTGTCATTTGATAAATGGAAGTTCTCAATTTTAATACTCTAAGTCCAAATGTGCCAGTTTTTCTTTTATAGGCAGTGTTTTTTGTGTTTTCAAAATGTCAGGGTGTTCATCTGTATTCTCTACTAAAAGTTTAAAACTTTAAATGTTTAAATCATTAATTCCTCAAGAGTTGATTTTTGTGTATGGTCTTTTAAAGTAGGGACACATGTTCACATTTTCCCATGTGGATAGTCGTTTTCCACCTCCCTTTCTTTAAGAGTGTCCTCTGGCCTCAGCCACACAGCAGAGCCCACGGGTGTGCAGGTCCATCTGTCGGTGGTCAGGAGATCTCTCCCGGTGTCAGCATCGTGCTGTTCTAATGACTGACCCAATTCCTGATGTCTGGTAAGGCAGTTTCTCTCTCTATGGTTTCAAAAGAATTTTAGAATTTGTGACATTCATGAAAACTTTAACATTTTACTAAATGCACGGAATCTATAGAAATATGAAGGGAGAATAGATGTCTTTATGATTTTATGGCTTATTATCCCCTTTAATTGAGTTTTTAAAATATCTTTCATCATAAAGTTTCACAATTTTCTGTGTACTTGTACTTTTTGTTTGGTTTATTCCTAAGTGCTTTAGAGTTTTTGTTACTATTGTAAATATTTTTCTTTTAAAGGTTATATTTTCTAATTTTTTATAAGTATATAGAAATGTAATTGAGTTTATGCTGATTTTACATCTAGCCACGTTACCACACTTTTCACTTCTATTGATTTACCTGTGTTATGTTTTCTATGTAGGCAGTTGTATCTTCTGCACACAATGATAATTCTGGATTCTTCTTGCCAATCCTTATGCTTTCAATTTGTTTTTCTTATTGCACTAGTTAAGATTTCTAGTATAATGCCAAATAAAAGAGGTAAGAGTGGACATTCTTCCTGTAATTCTACTTTTCAAATGAATAGTTCTAACTTTTCCCCATTTAAGATTATGTCTATTATAGGATTTTTATAAATACCTTTTCACTGGGTTAACACTGTTTTTCTATTCATAGCTTCCTAAGAAATTTGTGTTGCATTTTATTAAATAATTTTTCTGTATTTATTGAGATGATTATATGGTTTTTATTGTTTTATATGCCATTGGCTTTTGTTTGTTAACATTTTGTTTAGAGTTTTTACATCTATATCCATGATGAAATGGGCCTATAATTTTCCATTTCTTTACTATCTCTGTTTAGTTTTGTATCCAGGTATGCACGTCTTTTAAAATGAAGGTATCGTCTTTTTATTTTCTGGAAGGATTTATGTAAGACTGGGATGGATGATTTCTTCCTTGAGTCTTTGGTAGGATTCTTTTGTAAAACTATCTGGGCCTGAAGTTTTCCTTGTGGAAAAAATTTTATTATTTTCATTTCTTTCATACTTAAAATTTTTAAGGTTTTCTTTTTTTATGGATCAGTTTTGTTATTTTGTACTTTTTCCATGAATTTGCCTATTTCTTCTGGATTTTCTAATTGTTTCTGTATTGTTAATAAGAGCTGATATTTCATCTTTTTAAAATCTATATTATGTCTTTTTCATTTAAAGTATTATTAATTCTGCCTGAGTAACATAGCAAGACCCCGTCTCTACAAAAATAAAAAAACTAGTGGGGCATGATGGTGTGCGGCCCCGCTGGCCCCGCTCACCTCCTGCTGCACAGCCGGCTCCTAACTTTCATGGATGCGCGGCGCTGGGCCTCGGTCCTGGGTTTGGGGACTGCTGAGTTAAAGGACACGGGCACTTCTAAGGCTCCCCAAAGCAAGGTGGCCACAGGCAGGCGCTTATGTCCTCACCAGTAGCAAGTGTTTTCACATGTGGATTTTTGGTAACTTAGGAGCCGAGAAATAATCATGCTGTTTTAATTACTGTGCTGACCTGCAGCAGTAGGTCCGTTACAGTCTGTAATGCAAGTGAAGTTGAATTTTTTGTGTTTGCCTAGGTATTGTCTGTTGGGTGAGGCTTCAGGGTACAGAAAAGGTGCCTCCTATGTGCCTCAGTGGAAAGCCTCTGCTTTGGCTGTTTCAAAACTGTTTATACGTAGCTCAGCCTCCTCTATGGAATACTTTACGTGTAGTGTTGGATTTATTTTGGTATTCTCATACGAATTTGACTTCTTTTTTAGATATTTTTATTACTGCTGTTGTCTAACGTAAGCTGTATGTCCTTGTTGCGTAATCCGAGGCCTAATTTAAGTCAGTGTAGCGCGTTATAAATTTCACTTGAATTCTAAAGTTGCCAAAGGAAAATGTTAACAAATTTGGTTTGAATTCACCCTGGAAGTCTGTCTGTACATGAGTATTTCTCACATACAAGAAATACTGAGTGGACTGTTGTCAAGATTATTTTTGAGAGGTGTTTAAAACAAAGATACAGAATAAACAGTATTGTATAAAATAACAAATTTTATTTCTAGAAAATAGTTTACACTAACTGTACACATGCACACACCCACACAGAGTTTAACCACACATTGAGTAATTTCCTTTTAATAAATCTACCACATATTATATTACAATTTATAATAGTTTTTGAAGACACAATGGGGAAAGCTTTATCATTCATTTTATAAACCGTCCATAAATTACAAAAGAAAGGCAGTCTGAAAAGTATGTATAAAGAGTAAAAACAATTTACAAGTGGACAAGAATTACAAAATAGTAACCATCAAATACATCTGCCAGCAACTTTGTAAGTCTTTTGTTCAAATGCCAATGATGGTGGGTATGGAATCATTTTGAACAGATTTTAGGATGTTTTTGGTGTGGCTTATGTACTATGTGGATTACTTGACGTGTGTGTGCTGTTCACTGTTGATTATGTGGATATGGCATTTTGACAAATAATGAAAGTAACAGAAATCCATATGCCACGAAATATAACACTGAAAGCAATGAAGATTATCACCTTTCTGGTAGGTTGGAGTACTGGTGCTTTACCAAAGTTACTTTCTCTCCTTTTCTCTTTTTTGAATGATTAGGTAAACATTTTCTATGTGTTGCCTGGCTTGCTTTGAAAGACTAAAACCAGTGTCTTAAAATGCACAGCCTGTACAACTTGGTTTCGAGCCATTGTGTCAGTGAGGATGAAGACCACTGAATGCACAACACATACAAAGTATACACTGTATTTTTTATTAGACAGTACAAATCATTGTGCATTTATAAGGCAGAACATCAAGGCGAATTAAACTAGGAATTTCAAGACCAGAGTTAAAGTGAAAGTTATGCATTATGAGGCAAGCATTTTGAAAAGGGAGAAAGGTTGAAAATCATTCCTTTACGCGTGGATGACAAATGCACAAAGACTGGAATTACAGGTAGGGAGTGAGCTACAAATAGCTATTCGCCCCCCTGTTTGTAAATAAGACATCCCCTCCCACCTCCCAATCAGACCTTGGACAAAGAGCAGAGTGTCAGCGGTGACCGAGAGAGAGCAACAGCCCCTCTTTGTTCTCGCGGTTGGTTTAAAGTGGATGGTAGTGCAAAAGTGCATTTCTCTACTGGTGTCAGGGGAGAAGATTGTTTTTTTGGGAAGTACTTGAGTCATGAAAGCCCTAGTTTGGAATTAAAGAAAATTACATAGATTTGGAAGTTGTCCATAGCACATGAATCATTTCACTGCACCCAGCTTTTTCAGCAGTTTCTTGCCTTTGGAAAGCAGCCCCTTTTTCTTTTTCGAGGACATTTCCCTGCCTCTCCCAGGACTACCAGAACCCATAGATGACGGAGGTGACCCCGAATGGAGATGGACTGTGGGGGATGGAGCTCTCCTTGCTGTCCCTGAACCCTCAGGAGGAACCTAGTAGGTACATTGTGACAGTTTATTGAGTGTGTGAGCGCCAACAACAGCAATTCACTTGGTAACATCGTACTGCCCCGATTCCCACCAGGAAAGAAAAACGGGGTGGTTCATTTCTTCTTTCAATTTTAAACGTATGCCATGAGAAGCGAACACCCTCTCCCAAAGCACGTCAGAGAGAGAGCGTCTAGCCATAAATGTTTGGTTTTCAGTTTGTCTTGGGGGAGGGGGTGGCCATTGATTTGGCAAAACAAAGGTAATAATTTATAAGTTAAGACCAAAAGCAGGGTTGGAAAAAAGTTATTTTAAACTAGGTTGATAGTAAAGTTGGCCGAGTACCCATCAGTAATCTTAAAGGGAATTTTGCTGTATTTGAAAACTATTTGATTATATAAAATCCTGATATTGTTAAAGTGCATTCTTGGGTTAGTATATTATAGAAATATTGGAGATGGCACACTGGTTGAAAGAAAAAAAAAACTAAAATGAACCTTAATTACAATCAAAGAAAGCTTAAAGGCCCTTATTTGGATGCTTTTGTTATTTCCAAATCATTGAACGTGAATTTTTCTCACTGTGTAACACATGGTAATATTTCAATATACTGTAAGTGCTTAATCAACAGTGCTTCAAAGGGGTAGAATTTTCTTGTATGTTGCATAACAACTTTACCTCACTTGATTTTTGCAGTTAAATACATGCCTAAGCTTATATCATACCGTCATTGCTCTAGTTCCCTAGCCTCTCCAGAGCAAACCGCTTGCTAATATGAGTGTTCATTATTCAGCAGGCAAATATAAGCCAAGGGGCTTCAAGCTTGCTTGGATTTAAAATCAAGGTCTAATTCTAATGGAAAACACCTAGGAAAGCATCCCAAAGTACACCTGAAGATACCAGCTATTCCGTCTAATGCAATCATTTGAGCTGCATGTTTCATAAAACTTAGTATTGCATTGGTATACCAACAAATTGGTCTGTCACCAACTTCTGCATGTTTGGAACGGTTGTGCTTTGAGGAGCAGCACAGTGCTCTCGTAAGGTGGAGCGAGGGCCACAGGGTTCAGAGCCAACACTAGATCATCTTTGTTCACTACTCATGTGCTTGATCTTAAATTATTCTAAGTAAAACTTCCTATAGTAAACATATTTGTTAGGTTGTGCTTTTTCCAAGAGTGGCTAACAATGCAATATGCAGCTTTAATTATGAGTAGACATTGGAATACTCTATGTAAACAAACAATTAGCTTCTTAAGAAATATGTTCCCAATGTTGGCCTTTCAAATATTCTTACTGTAAATAGTAGGAAATTATTTTTAAAGATGATTTGTTTCACTGTAAATTCAGTTGCTTTACAACTGAGACCAAGTAATATCCTAATACTTTAGGTCCAATAATGTTTTGAGACATATTTCTTTTCTTTTTTTTAACCCCACAGTGAAGCCTTAAGTCTACCGCATTGGTCCATTTAAGGTAGCTTAAGTTGGTATCTTTATAGGTAACTTCAGTTGCTCACTTACGTGAAGGCTACATTGCCTGATTAAGGTGTGAAATGAACACTCTTCTTCTGTGTCCAAGCAGATGAGCAAAGAAATAAAAATATATAATATATAAAAATATAATATATAAAAACTCGCAGTGATGAAATAAAATAAAAATGAGATACTAAACATGAATGTAATCTAATAGTTAAATATGCTTAGGAAGCTCTTGGATCTTTGTCAAAAGGACTAAAATCCTAACAGGGCAAACAGCCATTCTTGCCCACTGAACCTGAAGGGCTCTCCCCTCGTCACTCTTAAACTGAACGTGTATCTAAAATGTAGATGGGACGTTCCTTTGTGAGTCAAGCCAGGTTAGAGTTGAAAGGGTTATTTTTTAGTGAAACAAGTAACATTTAGAATTAAGAATTTTTAGGCACAACCCCCATGGAAGGGCAGAGAAAAATTCAGGGTATATGCTTTTCGGCCCAAGATATAAAAATATCAGTGCACAGACTGCGTTAGAGCACACGGCAACACGGGACAGGGTTAGAAAGGCCAAGTGGTCGCTTACCCTTTTTGCCTTGGAGCGCGCTGGTGCTTCCTGAGAGTGGTGGGACGGAGCGTCAGAAAGGTAGACCTCCACGTCGGCAGGCACTTCTTCCAGGAAGTTTGACGGTACAAGGCCTTTCTGCCCATTCAGCTCCCCCTAAAAACACAGGGGTGAGTCAAAGAACTATTTATTTTTCCAGAAACCCACTTACTGCTTTAGGTAAAGGAATACAGCTCAAAGTTGAGATGCGTGGCACGTTTGTTCTGGTTCGAAAGAGGTGGGATGGGAAGAGGCTCTAGATCAGCGTTCCCAAACCTGATCGTGAAAACCACCTCAGCGACACGAGGGGGCCGGGACCCTCTCCTGGGGTCCTGATTTTGCCTGTCTGGGGAGGAGCTTGGTGGTTCTTAGGATCCGGCTCCTGTAGGAAATGCTCAGTTAGTGGTTCTCAAGCCTGGCTGACCTCGGAGTCCCTACAGGGCTTTTAAATCTCTCAGTGGGGGGGCGGGGGAGAGAGAGGGAGGTTTGTCAGTGGGACGAAGCCACAGTTAGACTGGAGGCGTAAGTCCTGGTGTGCTGTTGCACGGTAGGGTGACTCCAGCGAACAGTGATGTGTATTTCAGCATAGCTAGGAGAGAGGATTTTGAATGTTCTCACCACAAAAACAGTAAATATGAGGTGATGGGTACACTAATTAGCCTGATTTGATCATTATACAATGTATGTACTGAAATATCACATTGTACCCCACAAATATGTACAATTTTGTATCAATTAAAAACAAAACTTTAAATAAAATATCCCTCAGGCACACCATTCTGGACCAATTACATCTATCTTCAGGGGTGGTGAACAGGTGAGCCTAACACGCCAGCAAGTTGAAGAGCCACTGACCTGTGCTTGGTTGTTTTTCTTCCCGCTTATGCATGGATACACTCTCCCTGCGAACATTCAAACGACGTGGAGAAAATGAAAGTGTCTGTTGACACCTCACAGGTTACTGCTCCAGGTGGGTACACATCCTTCCCGACCTTGCTACTCATTTACATATCTGTGCCTGTGCATAGTTAGGGTCCAGATCCCTAACTCCACCTGCCTGGTGGTCGACTGCACCAAGGGGCTCACAAACCCAAAGTTCAAAGTGACCAACCCCAAACAGCATGGGTTTCTGTTCACAAGGTCTGGGGAGTGACAACATAAAAGGTCAGTCTACTACATCAAAAACAACTGCATCAAAGGACACAATGAGCAGAGTGATAAGGCAACCTACAGAACTGGAGGACATTTACAAATCATATCTGTTAAAGGATGATACCCAAAATATCTAAAGAACTTCAACAAAAAGACAAAATCCAATTAAAAAATAAACATTTCTCCAAAAAGATTCAGAGGGCCAACAAGCACATGAGAATATGCTCATCACTAATCATTAGGGAACTGCAAATCAAAACCCCACAAAGCCACCTCCTACCATTAGGTTGGCTGCTATCAAGAAAAACCAGAACAGAAATAACTCTTGGTGAAGATGTGAAGACACTGGAACCTCGTGCACTGCTGGTGGGAATGTCAGATGGTGCAGCAGCTTTTGAAAACAGTACAGCAGTTCCTCAAAAGTAGAATTGCCATGTGATCCAACAATGCCGCTTCTGAATATATACCTGAAAGAACTGAAAGTGGTGTCCCAAAGAGATACCTGTACGCCCAAGTTCACAGCTGCAGTATTTGCACAGTCAAAAGGTAGACGAAACCCAGGTGTTGACTGGACGAATGAATAAACAAAACATGCTATATACATAGAATGGAATAGTATTCAGCCTTAAAAAGGAAAAAAATCTGACACACCCTACAGGTGGATGAACCTTGAGAACATCATTATGCTAAGTGAAGTCAGTCAGTCACAAAAGGACAAATACTGTAGGATCCCCTTACACGAGGTCCCGAGTGTATCAGATGCAGAGACAAAGTAGAATGGAGCTTGCCAGGGTCTGGGAGGGTGATATGGGGAGCTAGTGTTTAACGGGTTCAGAGTTCTACTTTTGCAAGATAAAAGCGTTTGGAGGAGGACGATGGTGATGGCTGCACAGCATGAATGTGCGGAACACTACTGGACTGGACACTTAAAAATGGTTCAGATGGTAAATTCTGTTATGTAGATTTTGCCACAGACATAAAAAACTGACGACAAAAAAAGCAGCCCCGTGTACCTTGCACGTCTTCCTGTCCGACAATCCTGCCCAGTGCAGAGGTGCTGCCCCACACACTACCCAGCCCACTCTTCTGCTTGGACCTTGAAGATCCCCTCTCGGATTCATCCTTGGGCCCCTCAGTCTCTCTCCCGGGCCCCATTATTAGCTCATCCTTCTCTGCAGGTGTAACTTAAGGGACTTTCCAGACAGTCTGTGCTGTTAACTGTACACGTACCTCTGGAGGTCTCTTCCTCTCGAGGGTTTCCAATACTCCCTACGTAGGGGGACACTCAAATTTATGTCCAGCCCAGTCTCCTCAGCAGGTCCAGCACCGCCAGCTTTCCCCTCCAGCCTTGGCAAAGACACTTCCTTTGGGTGAGCACCAGAGTGGCTGGCTTGTATTTCTATGAAAACCCACAGCTTTACGCACAAATCTCTGCCAGTATCAACGCTCACACCAAAGAGGCCTGTGCAAACCGACCTACGCCAAGTCCTGCAGCTCCGGGCCCCAGGCCCCAGGCCAGCCCCTGCTCTGGCCCACGGAGCAGATCGTGAGTGGAACTGCCTGCACCGCTCTCTCTCTCTCTCTGGCCCTTTGGGCCTGACACGCAGAGTCCTATTAAAGCACTGGTCAGAAGGGCACAAGGACCACATCACCACCTCCTCGCCCCTGCTGCCTCCCGCGCTGTGCCACCACTCGGGGTCTGTGGCACGACTGCTTCCGCACGAGTCACATTCCAGCGACAGGCTCGGATGTCCTGTTCGTACTCCTTGAGCTCCTAAACCACATTTTCTGTTCAACTGTGTCCTTGTCCCTGTGTTGCCAAGGGTGCTCGTCACCGTGGTCAGAATCTGGGGCTGCTCCCGGAGGACACACCTTCCCCCCAAATGACAGTCTGAGCCCCGCGTAAGGTCATCTTGACTCTGCCTGTGTCTGGCTTCTCCGACACCGTCCCAGTTCAGGCCGCGTTCCCCGCCCCCAGCCCCACCCCGCCTCCCTCGAAATCTGCCTTTAAAACCCTTCACAGAGCAGCTTTTTCTGCAAGAAAACTCTGTCTGGACACTATCCTCCCTACGGGCCCTCTGTCATCTGATCTCTGCCCCTCTCCCGAGCCTCCTTCCATTTCTGTATTTAAGGCCAAATGTTAACCATCCAGAGACCCGATATCCAACCAGAACTGGGATGGGCTGAAAGGCAGAAAACGTCAAAACCTGTTCTCCCCCCTCTCTTCTCCGTGCCCTGGGCGGCCTGACGCCCAACCCTGTCTTCATGCTTTCGAGGCCCCTTCACGGACCCCTTTCGACACATGAAGTATGTGATTTAATATTTGGGGTGTGGAGACGCTGGGCCATGCAAGGACAGCATGAGGTCTAAGATATTATGGGGTGCTGGAAGTCTTGAAGGATCAGAGGCACTGACTTAGGGAGGGTGACGGAGATGAGGGAAGAGCAAAGGGAGGAAGGCCGGCCAGGGTGGCGGGCGGGGCCTCACGCCCTGCTCACACACGCCCTTCCCCACGGCTGTGCTGAGAAGAGGACGGGAGGACCCTACGGTATTGGGACCCATCAAACATTGGAGAGTTGGCGCTCCTTAGATGTTTAAGACTAGACGTGTCAGAGAGTAAGAGTTCCAAGAAATCTAAGATTTTTGGTATAAATTAGGGGTTCCCTGTTATTGTTGATCAAATAAGAAATAATAAAAGCAAACAGACTGGACTGGGCAGTCCATGCAGTGAAACCGACCAACAAAATGATACTACGACTATCTGGAGGAGAGAGAAAAAGCTAATTTAGATCTGATTCCCACTATAAGATAAAAACTTAGGCAAGACTTTTCAAGAAAGTGAAGAAGGTAAAACTTAGGAATAGAAACATGCAGATAACAAATTAGAAAAGTATTTTAAAACTTTGAGAAAATACCGTGCCAATTCTGATCATACACTTGACAATCTAAATGAAAGGCATGTTTTTCTAAATATACAAAAAACTTTTAAAAATTGACTCAATAAGAAGCTACCCATTTAAGCAAATGAAAACTTGTGCAACCACATCCTAAAAAGATACTGAACCTAAAAGATTTTCTAATAACCTTCAAACAACAGTAATTCCATGTTATGTAATCTGTTCCAGAGCATAAAAAAGATTGGAAGATTCTTATTCAGTAATTCTAGCATAATCCTGACACCGAAAACCACAGCAAAAATACTCCAAAGAATACAGACCAATATTATTTCTGGAATACAAATATATTAATAACTTCTGAATAAAATGCTAGCAAATCAAATCCAGTGCTTTAAAGAAATAATTATATATGATGACCAGTAATTTACTGATGAAAAATAAGCATAGCAAACTAAAACAGGATACTTTCTTAAACTATAAAGACCATCTACCTTTACGGATAGTCTAGCCTGTGTATAATAGTGTGAAATATTAGTGGTATTCCTCCTAAAACACATGACAAGTCACAGATTCCCGCACCATCGTTACTCAGAATTATTCTGAATGATGCAGTAAGATGATAAAAAGAGACGACAATTATAAGTATTGGTGAAGAAGAGACAAAATAGTCACGATTTGGGGGACGCAAGGGAATCAAATGACAACAGATATAAATAAATGCATTCAGAAATGATTTGTGGGAACGCACACATTTCCAACATATTTTCTAAATAACCATTGGAATATACACCGGGGGGTGGGGGAATCATTGAAAATAGCAATAAGATCTGTAAAATTCATGAGATGAACTTGTAACATATAAAGGATGTGTAAGAATAAATCGATGAATCTTTCCTGACAGATGAAAGGGAAAATTTTAAAAAAGGACGCACGTGCCATTTGTCAGAATTGAAAGACAATATTATAAGATGTCAGTTTTCCTCTAGTTTAATCCACAAACCAAATGCACCTCTAGACAAAAAATTATGGGTTTGCTGTGGGGGTGGGACTCTGTACAAAATGATTCCTCCCGAATATCTAAATGCATTATAAAAATACAGTAATTGAGACAGCATAGAGTAATATAAAAGTTTATGAAGAGTCTCTGCATTTATATGCTCTAAGGAATTTAATATATATAATAAAGCTAATAGGCTGGGCACAGTAGCTGACACCTGTAATCCTAGCACTTTGGGAGGCCAAGCCAGGAGGATTGCTTGAGGCCAGGAATCCGAGACCAGCCTGAGCAAGAACAAGACCCCATGTCTACAAAAAAAAATAGAACAATTAGCCGGGCATGGTGGTGCCCGCTTGTAATTCCAGCTACTCGGGAGGCTGAGGCAGGAGAATCACTTGAGCCCAGGAGTTTGAGGCTGCTGTGAGCTACGATGACACCACTGTACTCTGGCCTGAGCAGCAAGGCGAGACCCTGTCTCAAATTTTTAAAAAAATTTTTTTAAGAAGGGAAAGCACACATTATTTAATAAATGGTATTGAGACACTAGTTCTCCCAACTAAGAAAAAAATAAAGTTAGCCACTTGAAATTTACATACGAAAAATGAAACTATAAAATCAATGAAGCAAAACACAGTGCTTATTTCTAACACCTTGAAGAACTTTTTAAGGATGACCAACCCCCAAGGGCAGAAAAATCAGACCACATACAAACTTAAAATTTTTGCCAGAAAAAATAAGGAAACAAAAATAACGAAAAGTTTAAAAGTAGAGGATGATCTAGAAAGAAATATTGCAACAAATGTGACAAAGTATGAATTTGCAACAAATGTGACAAAGTACAAGTATCCTAAGTACTACAATCTTAAAAATCAGAAACCAGGCAGAGAAGGGAGGCTGGAAATTCCACATGGGGTTGAGGTTGCAAAATCTGCTTGACTCAAAGAGAAATTTGCCATGTCAGGGCTTAGTAGTTTCTTGGCCACTCTGATTTGAAAAAAAAAAAAAAAGTGGGGGTAGGTGGAAGCATAATGCAAGGTGGGCCCCCCACTGGGCTCTCCACCACTGCATGGGGTGGGCAGGGGCCAGCCACCTCCTAAGTGGCCCTGTGGGCTTCTGGTCAGTGCTCCAGGGAATGGGGGAGACGCACTCCGTGGGAACAGGAAAGGCAGCAGACGGCCCAGGCACTGCTAACAGTGGCTCGCTGGAACTCTGGGATGGAAGGTACAGGAGGAGTTTTAAAATCTATGGGGTTTTCTTTCTTTCCTGTTTGTTTGTATTTCTTACTTTCCCTGTAAGAAAATTTATTTCTTACCTATGCAATAAAACATCTGGAAAATTGTTTTATAGAGGTTTGGGTGGCAACAATTTTTGAATGTAAGAATATCAGTGCACTTACTTTGTTGACAGTTTACACATACTGAAAATGCCATCATTCGCAAAGAAAGAACATTGAAGATCACCTTACCGGCTTTCTACGTTACATACAACTCAGTGAAGAGAGACGAGCAAATGAGGCGACCTTTTCAGCAAACCACAGCTAGCATCAAGAGAACAGACAAGCAAAAAAAGAATGCAAAATGAATGAAATGCTGCCTCCTGATGGTTCAAAAACTTACATAATAAAATCCATCTTCATCAATTTCACCAAAAACAGTAATAATATCTCCCGTGCAAAATGTAAGTTCAGCCTGGAGAAAGGGAACATAAAGTTAACAGTCTTTTCCTGCGCAAAGTAGTTGTTCTAAAAACTTAACGGACATTGGTGACTCGGACGGGGAGGGTGGCGGGGGCTGCGGGATGGAAAGTCACCCATCAGGTTCGACGCGCACCGTCCAGGTGACGGCATGCTAAACGCCCAGACTTCTCCACTGTGCGGTTCACACGCAACAAAAACCACTTGTACCCCCTGAATCTATGTAAATTAAAAAAATACTTTTGATTTTAAAAAAATAAGTTTTTTGTGATTTCTCTTACTATTTGAGAAATTTTGGTATTAATCTACTCTTTTAGCCAAATAAAGAGGAAAGGCACAAAGCTAACAAGTGGCTCTATGCATCGTCTTCTAGAAAGTAAATACAAATCCAGATAATGTCAACCTGAAAGGAAAATGCTGCAGTGCTTTCATTTTTGGCCAAAATTCAAGATTATTACTGTTTTCTATTGGTAATACATTTTTAAAACTAGTGAAAGTTAACTTTAAAAACCTGGAACATCAGAGAAAAGGACCATTGCATAAGCGTCCTTTCACTCAGTATTAAAAAGTCTACCCGATTATTAACTAAATGCCTGTTTATTAAGTGACTACTCTGCGCCGTGGACCAGCCTCGAGGCAGGGACGCAGTGCTGAGAAAGTCTCCCCGTCCTCAGCCATCAGACTGCCCAGCACACTGCAGCCAGTTACGCAGCAGAACGTGGAAACAGAAACCTAGTAGAGCACACTTTAAAAAGAAACCAGCGTCTTATTTCTAACCATGAAAATGAGACAATGAAGTCCATGAGTGTCTAAGCAAGAGCTCCGCAGAGCGAAGACCTCATCTTTCACCTCTGAAGGCGGATGGCGGTCGGCCTTCGTGAAGCCGGGGAGCCCAGGATGGACCAGGCCTCGTGCACCTAGCACATCGCTGCTGTCCCCTCTGCTTTTCTGTTAATGTCAGGGGACCTTATTGCTTTGCTGTTCTTCGCTGACCACCTGCGATGGGTTTCTGCTCGTCTCCCAGAGACGACCCTACGCTGCCATCCCCATCAGATGTGGGTCACAAATTGCTCTTTCTGTAGCAGGACAGGAAAATCGGGCCCCGGGGAACAAGACGCCTCCTGTCCACACTGGCCATTCATTGGCCTGGTGGCCCTTCCCACGACGGCCCACGGGCAGGGGCGAGGGCTGAGGGCACACGGTTTCAGGGTGGTGGGTCCAGAGCAGCTCTGCCCGTGCGGGTGCACGGTGTGGGTTGGGGCGGTAGGGAGGGGACACGGGGCTGGCACCTCCACGTCCACGTTGGGCGAGCTTTCTCTCGGGTCGTAGTCGTACAGAGCCACCATTCTCCGTGTCGACACCGCGTGATGCCTGCCACTCCTCCTGCTTCTCTCTGCGTAGGTCACAAGGGGGACAGGAAAGCCACGTAAAGTCATTCCAAAATCAGCAGTATCCCCCTTCTACTGCCACACTGGGCCAACGTGACGGAGACCTACCATCGTGTAAAAGCCCCATGCTCCTGGGCGCAATCCTTAGAAAATGCTCTGCCTTGGGCCAGTGGCCTCAGACCCCACATTCTGACACTTTCGCCCTAGTACTCTTCCCCCTTCCCAGAACGTAAAACGTGAGCTATTGATATGCGTAAGAGGGTTAGTGAAGTTGGAGGTTGCTGCGAGCTAGGCTGATGCCACTGCACTCCAGCCCGGGCAACACAGTGAGACTCTGTCTCCAAAAAAAAGAAAAGTGCATCTAATGTTTTGAAATATTAATCCTTAAATATAATACAAATGACATGAACTGATCTCTCCATAGCTATTTAGAAAAAGTAGAGACTCTTTTAATGAGTAGATTTTCTCTGCACTTGGTGAAAAAAACAAAGATCATAAATGTCACGTTACTTAAAACTCACTGAAAATAGTTTTCTCTTTTCTCACTGGTGCTTGCAGACTGGTTCCAGATAAATGACGTCTAGTGTCTATCCAAATCAAAGAGTAATGAGTTTTTGTGCCTTTTAGAGAAGCAAAATCCACCTGAAGAATGGAAGGTGTAGCACTACCCGTCACCCCTGGATGTTTATCATACACAGGCTGATGTTCAAGGACGTTACCAAAAAGCAGTTAATCATTTGTTTTCTAGATGTGATAGACTTTGAGCAAGCAAGGCTGTACTCCATCTTTCATCAGAAGATCATCTGTGTTTCCGCAAGCATTCAGGTGTGTGTATGTCCCTGAATGCAGGCGCGCTGCGACCCTGGTTTGTAGAGTGGTGAATTTTCACACGACTCTAGCACGCGCAGAGATGCAAACTGGGGTCTCCTCACCTCCCGCTCCGAGCTGCAGGCGCTTCGCGCCGTGAGACGCATCGGCCACGGCTGAGCGGGGTCCGCTTACCTATCTTCTCCACAGGCGTGTTCAGAGGGAGGAAGCCTTGTCTGAGAAGCTGATCCATCATCTCCTCGTCGTCTGCCTGGATCTCGGAGACCATGTTGCACGGAATGAGGCCGAGCCGGGCACAGGTCTCCCCGCGGTAGAACCCGTCGGCATCTTTATCACCGTAAACCTAGAGCCGCGGGGAAAATCAAACAGGTTACGGCGTTGGTCCAGAAATATCCATCGGCCCCACTTACAGTGGAGTCGCGTGTACAGTGAGGAATATCCTTAGCACGTACTTGCAGAATGGCCCAGGTCACCTACGTAAATTGCCCCCGGCCTGCCGTGGATGCGGACGTGTGACCCTCACTCGGTGACCCCGGGGTTTGGGCAACTTGCTGAGCTCCCCATCTGACGGGCCTCTGCTCGGCTGAACTCAGGCAGGTAAAGGCACGCGGGGCGAGACCACGCTGCACGCGGAAGGGCTGCGTCGGCCGCACGTAGCGGTGCTTCCGTCCCCCCGAAGTGGGCTCCCCCGTCACAAGACAGAGCCGCGCGCCAGGCACTCTGACCACTGTCAAACGCTGGCTGTCTGGACGTGCTCCGAAGTTGTGAACCAGGGTTCAAGGCCCCCTTTCTCCTCCCCTACGGGGCTGCACGCTTCCTCTCACTCCCCGACTCTGGACTCACACGGCCCCTCCTCTCAGAAGGCAGGACAGGAAAGGGGACAGGAAACAGCCCACCCGTCTGGTTGTGTCAAGGGTCTAAGGCGTGGTGACCCCAGCCTCGCTCCCTCCCCTCTTCCTCCTGGCCTGCCTGCGGCTTAGGTCTTGTGCGGTGAGAAGTCTTTTTCTCAACGACACAGGACCTAATGGAGTCTGTGGTCCACAGGACATATCTAGGCGTGTCTGTGTGCACGTGTGCGTGTGTGCACACAACTCTGTAAGGCAAAGCGGTGAAGGCACTGCCCCTTCCCACCCGTGAGCAGACGCCGGGATGACCCCGCCGGGGCAGAGGCCCTGGCCAGCATGGCCGGCACCGGAACGTCTGAGCTGCCCGGCGTCAGGCTCCACCCCGCCGAGCCCAGACCCTCGTGCACCCGCACTGCGTCCCCTTTGAGCCCACCTTGATGATCTGTCCTTCTTTGAAGGGAAGCTCCTCCTCGGCGGCGTCTGGGTTTGGGGACATGGTGAGCGGGTCATAGTCGAAGAGAGCCACAAAGATGCGGGCCCGGAGCTCCTCGGCGCCAGGGTCGGTTTCTGACTCTTCGTAGAAGTCTGGGGAGAGGTGGTCTCGCCCCGAGTACTCGTCTGGGAGCATGTGGGGTGAAGACAGCAACAGGTGAGTCCTCCGGCCATGGCAAGTTTGTGGCTTGGCATGTGGGCGGAAGGGGATCAGGATCCCCGACCAGGGTGGACGGGAGAGATGGGGTAACCGTCCCGAAGCGTGGCCACACCCTGGACCCGGCCACACGTGGGAATTCCCACAGGCGGGTGGCCATCTCCACCCCCGGAGAGGGGGCCAGGTGCAGGTGGGACCCCACGGGACAGCACCCAGGCACCCACGCACTCTGTGAAGTGGAGAACGAGCGCAGCCCGTGTGCAAAATGTGTCTGTATGTCAGTCGAAGTCCGAGAGAGGTGGCCAAGCTGTTCACTTAGCTCTAAATCCTTAACTGGCAACAAGCACATTCTTCACTGCAGCAATGAGCGGTTTCCTGGCAGAATTGGGATTCAACTCCGCCTACCCTCCCGTTTCTAAAACTATCCTTTTTGAAATTCTAATATATATGCATATGTATCACTGGATAGCATTAGATATATATGCATACACATGTATGTGCGTGTATGTGTACAGAGTGACAAACAACCGACAGATAGTACTGTTCTGGTCACACGAGGTGGTCTCAGAACAGCAGCAGGGAAGCAAATGAGGAAACACAGTCAGCCGCAGAGAAGGCAAGGCTGGGAGAGCAGCCCAGTCTAGACTCTGTCACCAGCAGGAGGGAACAGGCGTGGGATGAGAGGACACAGGCGTGCAGAAGGGACCCGACAGGTGGTGGAGAAAGAACCAAGCAATCGGCTTCTTTCACCAGCAAAAAGAAAGAAAGAAAGAGTTTAAAAAGAAAAGCACTTTAGCTGCAGGAAAGGTCGATTTTGAAAATGCAGTGAATTGTTTACACTATTGAAATTCAGGACCTTTTTAGAATGCCTAATCTAAAAATTCAGTAATTTAACTTCTGCCAGGGAATAAAACATTCCCACGGCGGGCGTCGTTAATTGCTTCACACCAGTTTTGATTTTGCTGATGCTCAATGAAAAGACCCAATGACTTTTTCTGGTTGCAAATGTCACCTGGACGCAGGGAGAAGCTAGAGGGCGCCCTCCTGCGACCCGTGAGCGCCGCAGCGCGTGAGCAGGACGCTCGTTCGCGATTGTGCCAGATGCGCGCAAGAAACCGAGCACCGTGCACACGTGACCTGCAGGACGCGGTCCCCGCTGCGGAAACACGTCAGCGGAGCACAGCGCCGCCTCCGGCATTTCCCCAGCGGAGCGCGCGTGGCGACGCCGCGGCGTCACAGCACAGGGGGCAGGAGCGACGTCAGCGTCCTCCTCGAAAACCTCAGTCGCTCCCGCGGCCCACCGAGGAGGGCGCTTGCTCAGTAGCCGCTTACGGTCAAAGACTGTGGCATGTGAAAAACCGCACTTTTACGTCTTTAAGCCCAAAACTGCGTGGACCACAAGGGGCCACACCGCAGGAGGCGTTCAGGCACAGGGACCAAAGGGGACCCCCGAGGCCGGCATCCCGCCCAGAGGGGCAGAACTGCCCCCAGCGGGACGCCGTCTCCTCCTGCGGGTTCCGGGGAGGTGCGGGCCAGGGTGGGGCGAGTCTTGCGCTGGAAGGTGCGTGGCTGCCGTGGGATCACCAGCGCTCTTCCAGAGACGGTGCTCGGCGACGAGCCCCTGCCCGCGGCGGGGACAGCCCGGGCCTGCGGGTGCGCCTGCGGGAATCTGGCCTCCCGGGGGCTGCAGGTTGCGGCGGCGCCGCCGGGCCGCAGGCGGCACTTACCTGCGCGGGCCGCCCGGGGCGGTGGGCACTGCCCGCCCTGCCGTGCCGAGTCCCGGCGCGGGGCCGGGGGCCTGTGCCAGGGGGAGGAGGGGCGGGCTGCGTACCGTGCGGGCGGGCAGGGAGGCCGGGGCTCCTGGCTCGCCGCCGGGGCCGGCTCCCGCGTCCACGGGTGCTGCGAGAACCAGCACCGTCTTCTGCAGGAGGAACGTGCCCCTCGCTACCTGCCCGAGCCCACGCGCCCGCACTGCTACCGTCCGCCGCGACCTCTACGGAGAGAAAGGGAGGCAGCCGTTAAACATGCTCCGCGGCTCCTCAGCTTTGTCCTTGCGGGGAAACCGAGGAAGAGTCTTTTTGTTTTTTTTAAAGGGCCAACCTTTGTTGACGTAGTTACTGATTTTTCATTTTTCCTCTCTAGACACAGAAGGAAACATGGCGTGCCTCCTCACTCCAGAAGCTCAGTGGCCAAAATAATGCAAAATGAGAGACAGTAGAGGACGTTTTCAGAGTCGGTTAGTAAGAATAAAATCCTCTCAAACGCGGTAATGCAGTGTCAGAAGGGTAAACCCTCGGGCCTTCTGTCTGACAGGTAAATAAACGAGATAAGTGCAAAGACCAAAGATTATAAAGGGAAAAACCAAAATCCAATTAAATTTATCTTTGGAGACGTCTACCAATGTTCAGAGGCCCGCCTCATGCTAATCATACAATTTAGGATTTATCAGATGTGGAGCTGTAAAACTTTTGTTTCTTAAATCATGAAGGGCATTGTGTTTTTTCTTAAATGTTGGAAAGGCAGAGAATATTAAAAGTTACAGGATTTTCATTTAATTGTGGAACCATTGCTTATTAAAAATACACCTAGGACGTCTGGTTTACAGACTTGATTTCCTCTGAAAAAGAAAAGCGATGCTTCTGGAATATAGCAGATTTCTAAAATATTAGTTTCTAATATTTTTACAAGAAAAACAGAACTAAGTAAATGAGAACGAGAGGAAGATGGTGTCTGTCTGAACATCACTGGCTGTTCATTCCCTAGGGCTGCTCCCCTTATGTTCCTCCTCCTTAAGGCAGGTTATGAACACATTTCACTATGTTCCCTTCTGAAAATATAATAGGCACTAAGGCATGTGTATGTACGTGTCTGTGTGTAAAGTGTTTGATTTTAATTGTGTTTTTATATGTATTTCTGGGCTGCCACATGATACGAAGTCTGTACAATTAAAGCAAATCTATCATGGATTTATTACTTAACATTTTTTTTAGTTATGTTATTAAGAGGCTTTTTCTTTTGTTTAGGTGTTAACACAGAATTACTCTTTTCAACCAATTTAACAAGTGTCTTACTAAAATTAAGATGTGTCTGGAGTCTTTTGAATTCTTCACCTTAAGAAAAATCCCACTAAAGGGTTGTCTAAGACTGAAGATGAGGCTCACCCTGGCAGGACTGCAAGCACAGGGGTTTTTCCCCTTTGCTTCCTTGCTCAGGCGGGGATTGGCTGCAGCACACGATTTTCAGTTCTACCCTGCGAGACTGGAATAGAAGACCTACCGAGACTCTTCCAAAGGATACCCTTTCTTACCGCCCACAACACTGGCTTTCCATGGCTTGAACCTCAACAGTTCATTCAATGAGCAGTGCCTGTACTCTTCATGACTCACTAAAACTGCAATCAAATGAAGACTCGAAACCAGCTTCAACAGCAGAGTTTTGCAAAACATAGAGCCTTGAACAGGAAGACTGGCCTTTCCCCAACCTGGTTTCTCAAGACAGGGAGTCTCTGAAGGGTCATTTGATTTGAGAGCCAGGAGAACCTATTTAAGCTCTGTAGTTGTTGCAGAAGAAATTACGCACAAAATAAATGAAGATTTGAGATGGTATGCTAGGTTTAGAACACTCCAGAGGAATTTAGGCTCAGCATATATGTAACTGCTATTAATAATTGATCTGTAATAAGTAAAATCAATGTTTTCTGAATCTGTGCATATTTTGTTATTTTTCAGTTAACTGAAAATACTGTGTTTTATAAAGATCTTTAACATTCTATGAAATTTTTATTGATAAAAACATTCTAGGCTGGGCACAGTGGCTCACACCTGTAATCCTAGCACTTTGGGAGGACAAGGCAGGAGGATCACCTGAGGCCAGGAATTCGAGACCAGCCTGGGCAACATAGCAAGACCCCGTCTCTATAAAAAAAAAAATCAAAAAATTAGCCAGGCACGGTGGCATGTGTCTGTAGTCCCAGCTACTCAGGAGGCTGAGGCAGGAGGATCACTTGAGCCCAGGAGTTTGAG